CTTGGGTTTTTGGCATGGCAACTGGACTTCCTCCCCTAACGTATTTGAAAATGTAAAGTGGTTAAACCACTCTTGTTAAGTAATTGGGTGTTCCACTCGAGAACTACCGGGACAGCGAGCCTTACTGGTGTGGACAGGTCGCACAGCTCCGGGAGATGGCGGAGAAGCTCAGAAGTGGGGATTTTTCAATTTTCGCCTGTGCCACAGTTTGCAATTTGTTTTTTGTTAGCAAACTGTGGTACGTGCTACAAGTTTTACACTGTTCAAGAGTTAACGTTCAGAAATTGCACCGCGTTTTTGCCGTTTCTATTTGGGGCTCGACATGGGAACGTACGAGTCGTATGAACCTGTTCCGGAGCGTACGCGACGGCAGACTAGGACTGTCACATTTGTTTTTGCGGCAGATTGTTAATCGTTTCCTTTTCTTTAGCGACGTCAGTGGCCCTTTTTTACGCACCGTTTGTCAAGTCAGACTGAGTAGTACCCTACCCGAGTTTATTGTTTCTGTGTCAAGTGAGCCAGGTGGTGTTTATGGCTACGTTAAAAATGTTGTTGGTTCATGACGATTTTTGGCAGCGCGTTTTTCTATGGATTACTTAAGCGAAGTGTCGCATTAAAGGTTTTACAGGGACCTTTGCAATGTTTTACATCCAGTTCCTTTGTATAGAGCTGTGTGTAGTGCAAGCCCAGGACAAGACGTCTTGAAACGTGTTAAGACAATGATAGTTCCGCCGGGTCTAAAGACCTTATTTTTTAAATTGCACTCCGGCACGCTAACTGTAAAGACGCGGATGGCGACCAAAGGAATTTTTGTCCCGTGGGGTGGCCAGTGTTTGCTCTGTAAAAAACCTAAACAATCGAGCACGTCTTTCTGGAGTGCTGGGACGGCGTCTTCCTATGGGACGTTCTCCAACGCACTCTGAAGAAAGATTTTCTGTTAGACGTACACTGCATCAGGTATCTTTCCATAGAAAATGAGGACGGGGTGCACTTTGATATGCTAATGTTATTGGGCCTGTAAAGCATTTGGAGGTGTCGGATGGCTACGTGCCATGCCGAGATTGACGCGTGCGAGGTGGGGCACTATATCCGCGAAAGTATTGTTTCTTTGGTTGAAACGCATAAAGTACAAGTGTGCGTGCCAGACTGGATTCCACTCATAGAATCCTTAATGACCATGAAAAGATTTTAGGCGGTCGCGCCTCGCCCAGTGCGGTCAGGACTTTTCATTAGTCACTATTTCTTTGTGTGTTTTCTGTGTTTTTTTGCATTGCCACTCTCCTGTATATATATTCATCTACACAACAGCAATAAAAAAAAAAAGCGGCCGTGGCCTAACGGTTATCGTACTTGCTTCCCACGCGAAGAGCCAGGGTTTGATTAATGGGAGCGACGCGTCTTTTATTTATTCTTCGATTTAGTGTTCTGGTACGTTCGAGAACTCTCTTGCTTGTTCGTGGTACGAATGTTTTAGTCGCCAAACCTTCTAGGTTGATTGTTTTAGAAGCCAATGCGTGAACGTAAGGGGTTCTACGTGGCGATCCGCAGTCGGTCTCGCTCCAGTGTTCGACTCTGGTGGTACTTCGACACCCGCGACGCTTTGCTCTCTTCTGTTTCCTTTTTTTGATTTTTGGCCACAAGTTCGCCTCAATAAACGTTTCAGTTTCCCCAGTTATTCTTTGTTTCACCTCGTCATTCGTGACAATATACTGTACTACCACCTGTTTCATGGCTACCCAATTTGTGGCGTCAGGGTTTCTCTCGTCGTAAAGAATTTAAGAAGTTTTAAGGCACGCGATCGTAAGCCGTCCCAAGTGTTTGAACCAGAATTTGAACACTGGCCGTCGCGATTGTACTAACTTGATGTTAATCACTTAGCAGCTAACTTTTATCTCCAATTTGTATGTTTGCCAATGATTGCGTTGTCTATCGTAATATCTGCTCATTTGCAACTTCAAACGAACCTGGATTGCGTAGCCCGTTGCTATGATGCTTGGCTGATGAAAAAAGAACTGCCAATAAATGTAAGTGAATGAGAGTGCCCGCTCTAACAATGCATCCCTTAGCGAAAACTAAGACGTTTGAAATATACCACATTCTAATTTGAGTGTATTTGAAGTTTAGCTCATAATTGTAAGTACACAATAAATAGACCGAAAATATACACTTCTTTTTTTTTCTTAGTACTAAAATATATTTCTGAAAATATTTTAAAAATACCTTTATTGAAACTACATTTGAAGTTCCCTTCATGCGTTCTGAAATATGTAAATACTAAATTAGTGGGCCCAAAATACCTTTCACATGGATTTTCTAAAATATGTATTTATTTCATGCAAAATATACTCCAACCCTAATAAAAAGGCAGCGATGAAAAATATGTGCAGAATACTCTTAAAATACCTGGAAATTGTAAATACTGTTGTGCTATGCTCTAAGTATCTTTTGAGTGCAATACTTTGGTAGTCTGACTTAAACTACCAAAGTATTGAAAAGCTCGCCTATCAGAAGTTCACTTCAAGCAGATTTGGAGTACACTGAAGCGCCTAAACACAACATTTGATTAGTTTGTCAATTGAGTTGTGCAGCATCGCACTGATAAATCAGACCAGTTTATGTTATTGTTTCCTTTTTTCTATCAAGAATAGACCTGACGAGTTTCTTGCGCACCAATCACAAACGGGGTTCGGGAACTACAATTACAATGCTTGCTGATACTGGAAAGCTTCAGCAAGTGCTGTGAGATATGTTTCGCGTGTAATTGTGTTAGCAAATGCTAGTTCACTGAATGCGTATACTCACCATTGTATGTGATGTGAGCAGTGACTTTAATATAGTGACGTTAATGACCATATTAAATAGTCAACTGGTAAAGAAAAGCAAAATAACTATTTTAAAGTGAAGAAACTAGCTTCACTCGCTTCATCCTGGGTGGTGCTACGCAGAGAAGCAATAAAATTGTTTCTAGGAGCCGTTTTTATGGATATTGTTTCAGCGACTGCGCCGAATTATTATTAGCTGTATTAATGCTTGCAGTAAGAGGTATCGTCCACGAACTTCAAAACACTGTTTCCCCTTTGACAGACTCCCGAGGAGAATATCGAATACTTGGAACCTTAATGAGTGCAGGGCTGGTCACCGGCCAAACGATTGCCTTCAATATGTAGGCTATATAAGGCTCTCCAGCAGTCAACGGGTTTGTCATTCAGGTGTTCAGTGCGTCACGGTGTTTGTGTTTGTTTCTAGTGGTTATTTGTGGGATGTATTTAGTAGTGCCTTCAAATACCTCAAAAACCCATTTGCTAACGAAATCCCCCCCAAAATGTGTAGTTGGTGTAGCTCTCAGCTATACAAATATTCATTTTGTATTCATTCTGTATTGTTTTGTCCCCATTCGAAATACGTGCGAAAGGTATTGAAAATATATCATAAATATTAATCAGAAAAAATTTTAGATATACCATAAATATAATTCCTTGCCCCTCAAGGTGCCATTTGTGCACTTTTTAGCGCACAAATGGCATTATGAGGGGCAAGGATTTATATTTTTGGTATATCTAAAATTTTTTCTGATTAATATTTATGATATATTCTGAATACCTTTCGAACGTATTTCGAATGGGGACAAAATAATACAGAATGAATACAAAATCAATATTCGTATTCAATATATCTCAAGTTTGTTTCGAGTACGGCATCTTTTTGCTAAGGGATGCCCTATATATCCTATTAAAACAAGCATCCTGCTATATATTTCAGCTTACAAATATATAACCTCTATTCTTTTTTGGAACACGTATGTATAGTATATGGTTTACGTTAAATGCAAACCGTATACTTGACTACCTGAAATTAAATTTATTTCAAGCTCCCTAATCACTGAAACAAATTCTGCACATATGCGTAGTTCATTCAAAAATGTAAAAATCGTCATAAGTATGGGATCCCAGCCATCAAAATGTAATAACTACATTGGAAACCATTCAAAACAAAACCTCTCGTTACATCTTAACTAATGACCTCCGTACGACGGGTGTAACTAACATAAAATCAACCTTATCTTCACCTGATTTGTCTTCCAGTCATAAAAAAAAAATATTCACCGGTGTTTATTCCACAAGCTATATCACCATAACTCATTTCTCCTTCAGAAACCCATCCTTGAGGTATCTTATCACTCTGGTCGTATCAATCACAATTATAAGGTTGGCATACCAAGCGTTAACACTCACACATTCAACATCCGATTTATACTTTGAAGATCACATTACTGGAACCACATGCCCGCCTCAATTGCTGCAATTAGCGACGCTGTTTTCATTAAGCAAATTTTACTAAGATCGCCCTTAATTGATTTAATTGCCATCTTGTTATGCATTCACCCCTATCTATGGTATATGTTGTACCATGAGGGTAAATACATAAATAACTTAGGACTATACTAGATCTCGCCCAAGGAAATGGTTTTCAGAATTTCGTTATAGAGCCTTCAGTGCAATTTAACTAGTTCATTTTACGCCCTATTAATATTTTCGTTACTCAAATTAATGTTCAGTAATACTTATAAAAGTGGATATACTATAGTCTGTACATGTCTTTAATCTTAAAAAAATTTTTTTGCGATCTGGCACTTGAGACAAAATAAAGAATAATCTCGCACGGTGACACGTAAAACATTTAATATTATTGAAGACTCTCCTGATTTTATTTCCCAATGTTTTAAAATGAATAGCCGCAACAAACAAACACAAAAAAGTGACACATTCAGTCCTTTCAATATTGCTTGGTATGTCCCTTCGGTCGAACACTTCTTATTCTGGAACAAGTGAACGCGTGTGAAATGCCTACTAAGCTACATTAAATGTTTATGCCAATATTTACTGCTACGTCTGCAAGATACACATGTGATATAATTATATTAATTTGTGCCAACGTTCTGGTTATAGTACGCCAGTTTTTTTGAATCCTAACGACTGCGACAAAAAGTTAGTGTTACTTACCGACATGATTTCGACAGAACAAAGTCTAAGTATGACTGCTGGGTTGGTCATGGTGGAGTATCGTATGTTTGCCTGGAGAGAAATGTGGCAGAAATGTATTGTTTTACAACCAATTGTTTTTTTGTTGCTTTTCATGTGTTCAGGTAGATTGCACAAATTTTTATCTTCTGAGAACCGATCTTTCGTTTAACCCATTTTCTAATAGGGCGGTTTTTGAACACCCAATGCGTTAACCAACCGCCCTGATTATTCCAGCCCTGTTCCGGAGGGGAAGCAAAATAGCTTGAAGATTATATTTTTTAACTTGAATATTTTGCAAATACAAATACTTAGCACAAAGCGAAAGCTTAAATATCGCAAAAATATGGCCATTTCGACATGTTTTGAAACATTTTGTTTAACTAAGCATTATTTCTAAAAAAAATGACGACAGTAAAATAATTGAAACATTATAGACGCTCTACAGAATCTTTGCATGGGTGCCGCCATCTTGGTACCAGGTAGCCCTGCTGCCATAGTTGACCTTCAGTTTCTTGTGGGTGGAACCATATAGATATTATAAAGTTCGCTCGAGGTTCAACTGGCGCTAGTGTCTATGCGACTTCCGTGACGCAAATTGAAGCAGACAGTAACCAGTCCACTTTTGCGGTGCCCCCGTGCATTGCTATGGGAAAACGCGCGTGCATTTTCTTTCTTCGACGGAAAATAACACGGAACACTTTGGTTATTTAGGTCGTACCAAATAGTATGTACCTTGATTGACACTGCAAAAGTGTAATTGCTTTAGCTAGCGTATTTTACTTAATCAGTTAACGATGTTTAACTTCGCTAAATTTCAGTCCCAAACGTGTGCTCCGCAGCAGGTGTGTAAAAACAAGCGACGATTCAAAGCAACATTACAATCTGGAGGAATATAGAGTGCGTTCAAGGCTCGCCAGCATTCCGGTGACGCTTATATATTGATAATATGCCAGTCCTGTCACTATATGACAATGACCCCTCGTGCATGAGCGGATGAAAACATTCAAAACGTAGAGAATAAAGTATGTGGGCTATGAAAGGTGTCGTTTCGTATTGTTTTCTCTGCCGGGCAAGTTTTATCGGGCACTTGTTCTCATAGAGTTTGAGCGTGCGGGCAATATTTCGAAGGTGGAACCAATATCATCGCTCGGAGCAGAAAGAATAAAGCGGTACTTACTTATTTAAAGTCGAAATAGATTACGTGGCCCTCAATTTATTTTGATCGTACATGCACGGGTAGTTATACTGATCCAGTGTTACTGGTTCTTGCCGTCTCCCTTAATTTCCAGATAGTCTTCTTTCGTTTGGCACGTATGTCCCTCATGCTGAAAAGCGCCGACGTCGTGTTCGCGCTGTGTCCGACAGTGCACATATATACGCATACGAAGCCGTTTTAGCACCGTTTTTAATGCGATGAATTTAAAAGAAAAACGCCGTAACTGACCAATTATTTCGTTAGCCTGAGTGAGAAATGTTCCAAGCTACTTAGTACGTACGAATTATTCGGAATATTTGCTCTTATGATCGAGCACGGGGCGAAAATGCACTCACTTTTTCCCCTACAAATGCATTACCGGAAGTCAATTTTCGACTGGTTGCTGTCTGCTTCAATTTGGGTCAGCACACTAGCGCCACTTGAACCTCTAGCGTACATTATAATAACTCTATAGGTGGAACGCAAGGACGTTTAAATTGGGCAGGATCCGGCTTGACGTCATGTCCAGCGACGCCGGGTCCAACGTTATTAGATTACCTCAGTTGTGGAACTCCCACGGAGGGGGGTACCCCTCCCTCACTCACTTCAACCCGCCTAGCGTCGTTCGAAGCACCATCTATATTTTCGTTTCATAACTATACGTTCCAAAGAGCCCAGCTGAAGCGCCAAGTGGCGATCACAACGCCGCCATTTACCCTGCAGCGGTCACTTGAGGAACTGCACGTAACAACCATTTTGGCTTCAATCGACCATTTCGTAGCCGAAACAGATACAGTGGAAAGAGTTACAGGGATGCTACCCCCGTCTCCCCAGCGGACGCACCGCGAATTTGCCCCGAAGTTAAGATGAGCCTAGGTCGGGACGCGCTACCTGAATTCACCGCTGAGGCATGGTTGTATGAGAGCAATATAAATTGTGCCGCAAAACCTTGCAAACTAGAGATTTTAGAAAAAATCACGCGCCCCTCATTCTGTACTAAACTCCAGTAGAGTTACTACAAAAAAGAGTTTTTTTTTTCTGCTGGCTTTTACGTTTCTAGTAACGTTGAAACCGTTGAAACGTACGTACCCTGATTCAGTTACCAAAGCAGCCGTCTGGCGGCGCGTCGAGCGACGCTTGCCGAGTCGTGGTGAGTGAGGGGGGGGGGGGGGGGGGGAGTACTGTTCGTGCATGACGCGTCTATGAGCAGTTCCGCAACTGAGCTAATCTAATAAAGTTGGCCGCGTCCTGCCCAGCGACGCCGGAAAAAGAACCCGATCCCAGACTGCCCTGCCCATCGAACCGCTCTCATCCAAACTAAATCCAACTAAGCTCCCAGAGTCTGCTCGCTGCTCGGTCAGCAGCGAGCAGACGCTGAGAGCTTGGTTGGATTTAGTCAGTCGTGACAGCGAGCAGACGAAGCAGACCGCAGGCACGGAGCAGACGTAGCCTAAGCCTAGAGGCTTAGGCTACGTTTGCTCTGTGCCTGCGGTCTGCTTTGTCTGCTCGCTGTCGCGACTGGCTTCCGATTCGACCAGTGCACTAAAAGTTGTTTCGATGCGAACCCGCATTCTCCTCAGGGCGGAGTGAAACCAACACCTTCTGGAAGCAGGGTTTGTACGGCTTTCTCAACCCTCAGCGCCATTCTCAGCGTTCGTGCGTACGACGAGTGACACGCGATCGCTTTTCAAAGCCGTGCTATGACGACCCGTTCTATACGACGCTACAAGCCCGGTGTCGAGAGCGTCCGCTACACGCCGACTTCCTAGTGGTCAGGCAAGTGTTGGGCTCCAAATCTCGCCTGTTGGACACCGATTCACTGTATGCCGCCATTGATTTTTGGGGCAAGCAAAGCGGGTTGCCACGGAAAGGCCATGGCAACGAAGGCTGTCTGCCCAAAAAATCAATGGCGGCACCCGTTGAAGAGCTACCCCCATTGGTTGAGAAGTGTTCGTGGCTCCGCCGACTTCCGCTACACATCGCTCCGTGCATTGGGCATAGGGATGCCACCTCCTGCCCATTTTAACCTCCTTGGCGGGGCGCGTTTTCTACTGCGACCGCTACTCCTCCACCACTGGAGCTTTATTTTCGTAATTTTTTAAAAACAAATCTACGTTGTAATTGAAGGAGTGATTTTTATATAAGGTTGCTATACTTGGCTGCTTTACTTAATCGTTTTAATAAACACTGAAATAAAAAAAAATATCTAAAAAGCAAGATGGGACACGAATAGAAATAAATTACCAAGATCAATTATATTTATTTATTTTCATTTTTTATGAATATGTGCGCCGTTAGACGCTCTTTAGCTGGAGAAGGTGAACGCTGCAGCCCACAAGCCCCGTGCTTACATCTCTCATCGGCTGGAGAGATTATTGACTTGTGAAATATTGGCTGTAAAATTGTATCGTCGTGCCGTAATGTTATTTTAATCAACATTTCATTTTATCTTCGATTAAAAAAAGAACTAGATAGAGTCATTGTGGTTTCCAAAAGTGTTCCAAGATTGCCTTTCCCGGATGGGTGTGAACAGACACCAAATATAACTGTCGGCGTCTGCGGAATGCGCAATAACCGCAGCTCGTCGAGCTCGTCAGTTTTTAGAAGTGCAAGTCGTTCTGCGTTCACACAACTGTTAAGAGAAAGATCTCAGCAAACGTAGCTTGCCACAAACAACTATCGCGAGTACGCCCCCTCATGAGCGCTGGGCGGGTGCTTGTTTTCGCAGCGGGACTGCCCTAATCCTAGCGTCCGACGTGAGCTATGTTGCTCCACCTGGGTTGATTTGTTCGTTTCCGCGTGTTGATGTTGATTAAAGATGTTGGTTCCCGTGAAAGCAGTCCAGCTGCTTTGTGAATTGTGCAACCGTCATGATTGCAACCATGGTTTCAATACCGAAAAGATACCTACACAAGTCAGAAATTTGGAGCCATTTGGCTGGAGGCAATCGGGCGTTCGGCTCCCATCAAGTTAGTCCAGGTATGATTCCGTGTTTCGCTACGAAAGGCAAGTAGCTCTAATGTGTTGCTGTCACCTGGCCTGCCAAAGCTCTGCGGCATGACGCTTACTTAACCTGCTCGCGGATGCCATGCGAAATAAAACACAAGAAGAACATAAAAGCTTAAATTACCGCGTATTTATTTGTTGAGTTCTTAGTCCTATCGGTGGCTTTGTTTCGCTTATCGACGGGTGCTGATTGGAACGTCACTCGCACATGATGGAACCCTAGAGCGCCGCTTTCATGGTCGCTTCTTCTGAGTGTTGCACTTTTTAGACGCGGGCGAACTAGCAGACGGGCGAAGGCGAAACAAGACTCCGACGCGCAGCTATTGTGTATGCGTCTTGCAGACATTGCAGACGACCATATGCGGTGGAGAAATAGCAGACGTTGCCGGAGACTGCCGTGCTTCTGTTCGTATTACTAGCAGGCGATGACAGACGCCAGACTGGACGCACCGGATGTCGGGAGAGGGAGACACTATGCTTCCGAGCGTGTTCGGCCGAGCAGCCAAGCCAATCCAGTAGTAATGGGAGGAGCCTGTGATCTGTGGGCGGGCTTAGAGCAGCCCATGACGTCCGCCTAAATTACGTCCAACAGTGTAATTATTGCGTGATTTTTTTTTTCTTTGTGGAAAATATACAAAACCGTCGTGTCCTATCCATGCTTTTTCAACTTTTGAATTCATTTTAGTGTCTCTTGAATTCCTTTTTCAACCGCACTAGTGCTTTTTTCATGTATCAATTATTATCGGACTGCTAGTTAGTAGACGACGCACGAACGGGTTGCGAGTTAGTAGAGCCTTTTTTTAAATATTTCCTTCGACCTACCGTAACCGCAACGGCCTTCTCTATATGC